ATCACAATGGCGTCGTTCTATACACTCTCTGTCTTCCCTTAAACTAAGAGATTGAAATCACTAATTCTTTCTTCCTGTACTATATCCTTATTGCAATCTATCTTTTATATATTACCACCTCTGAATTAACTACTTTTATGAATCCGGTGTTCATCTTGTTGTGTTAATGAGGTATGGCAACTTGTACCGATGCATATATATGACTGATTCTACGTTGTGGCTGACTGACTTGATCCATTTATTAACAAATGCATTACTCTAATCTCTATATGTTATTTTGTATTCTTTAAATCCTTGTCTTTTGAAAATATCATCTTCTTTGTAGTGAAATTAATCTTCTTCGATTGAACATAAGAAAAGGAGTAATTTCATTTTTGTGTATGCATAATGATGAATGTACGTTTTCAGTATGACTGTAAGCTGTACTGTAAACATATTTCTATGTACATTTATAGAATAAAGATTAGTGAATTTTCTATCACTTAAGGTAAAATGTAAGCAAATAGTAGATTGATTACCCTGGCAATTATTTATTTGAAAAACCAATAAAGTAGAGAATCGTCCATAATAATTTTCTCCTATTTCTCAAGAACTTAATAATAAGCTATCATCAACTAAATATTCTGAGAATAAAAAGCTTGATACAATATGTTCTTTTTTTCTCTCTCTCCCTGAAGAAGTGTCTCACATTGAGTGACGAAACCAGAAAACTCAATTTTTCTACTTATTAGTACTATACAAATATATTATTTTTTATTAGAGTTTGAATGTGTTAAGTTTATTCTTTAACAGGATGTAAAAATGAATATGACTGGGAGTTCGAAGAGACAATGGTTTATGGACGACCTTTGAACGAATCTTAAGTAACCTTGAGAAATACTAGTCAATCAGCAAACAGTCAGTATAGAGTAAAAATGTATTATACAAAACCAAATAAATAAAGTGGATACACTTCTTATACGTGGTTTCAAAAACTTGCCAAGGTTAGAAAGAGGTTCAGAGGTTCTAAAATCGTAATTCACTTAGTAGAAGAAATCATCCATACGGCTACAGAACAGTCGGCCTTTGTAGCCATGATAAAGTCTCAAAACTCTTATAGCCTCGACCACATAGCTTCAATATTGTGTGTACTCTAGTTGTTGAGTACACAAAATACCACTTGTGGGTAACGACACGATGCACATAACCAAGCCTAGGTAGGAGTATGTACGCTCTGCAATCATCCGTATATATTGTAGTACCTGGCTGCAGCCAGTGTTACTTGTGTTTTATTATCCATTTCGCAATAATTGTTATAATTTGCTTTAGTTAGGAATTATATATGTGGTTTTCATCACGAACTGACATAAACTATAATGCCAAAACTCTATTTAGTCAAATGGATGAAAGACTTTCGCGTTAAAATCCGTGATCTATTATCTTATAACTGATTGATTCACTGTTTTATTTGTTATATTCGCTCAATTATCACGTTTTGTATAAAATCCCCTATGAACCGATTATACGTTAGTATTAAGTACTAAAGTTGATGCTGTGACCCTGAACGTCCTCAAACGCTTCTGATTATCTCGTCCATAAATTATAGTCTCGTTGAGAGTTCTTCTATTTCAATGACATTTAAGAAAGCTAAACATCTTTTAAATATATATATATGCAATTATATTTACTTACAAGTAACTTCTAAACGATAATCACTTTTTGACCAGGTCATATCTTTTAATTTGTTTCTTAATACATTTCTTAATTGTCGACAATTTGATTCACATGTTGAATCTTTATTAAATAATACACCATTCAATGAAGCATTTGTAATTTTCTCTAATACTTCAGGTGATTCAACACCAACCCAACATCGAATACGTTTATGATGCATAGCTCTATTCATTGTTAATTGTAATCTACTTGCATTCATTTGAATATTGATTAAATTATGTTCATGTTTATCATCTTCAATGTTATTATTTGACTCCAATTGACTATCTGTTAATAAATTCAATGTATCCAAGTGAATAGAAGGAATTGGATTTCCAATTGTCCAACTTTATAAAATGAAAATATCAACAACAACAACAACAAAATGTAGAAAATCAGTCATCAAAAGTGTCATCATCTAATTATGGAATAAATGGATGAGTATTTCACTCTATATACAATTTGCCAGTTAGGTTTATTATCAGAATGGGTTTTGTGGAGATTTTTTTAGAAATGTCACTGGTTGAAATCATGAGTCAATTGAAGCTAGACCACCATGGGTTCGAATCTCGCGGGGGGCGGGATCGTGGATGCGCACCATTGGGGAGTCTCACACTAGGACGAGACGGCCGTCCAGTGCTTCCAGGTTTTCAATGGTGGTCTAGCTTTAGTTGACTCATGATTTCAACCAGTTAAGTTTATATACAGTCGGTTGTCATTCTTCATATTGGTAATGTGAAATTGAGTATTTATCATTTCAAATTATTAATTTGTCATCCATTTAGACAACAGATGATGAACTTAAGTGAAATGTATGCAAAGTAGCTGTTGTATTAAACAATTGTAATTATCGCAGTAAATCAAATTAATATCAAATCCTTAACTGATAATGGAATAGTACTTTGGTTTGTGCTACTGATGTCAACAGATATAAGTAGTATGAAGTATCAATCGAAAGTGAAATATTTGGAGGTAGAAGGTTAGGAAGATCGAAGAGAAAAGAACGAGAACAGAGAGTTATTGGTATAGGAACGAAGGAACAACCAACTATGAGACAAATGACAGATATTTTTGCAAATGAAATATTAACAGTATAGTTCTGAGATTTTACCAAGATATTCTGTAATCATATATTAAAATACATTTGATTATCCCCCTCGCCAGTGTTCTCTTTCAAAACAGTACTATTTACGAGTTATTTCGATAATGAGTTGGACTTTATTCATGAGTTCACTAATATGCAGACCTATTGTGATGTGTGGTACTGATATTGATATAAGTAGTATATGACGCGAGTTAAAGAACGTAATGTCTGGCAGCAGAAGATAGGAAAAGATCAACAAAGGAAGAGTGGGAACGTAATGCAATTTGTAAGAAAACGCATGAACTATGAAATGTGAGACATAGGATTGATGATTGCAACAGGAACAGTCCGGTTTGATATGATGGAATAATATTTTGCAAATTAACTATTTACTATTTGGTTTTTATATTTCACCAAGTAACTCTGTAATTTGTGCTACATGCAATTTGGTTGTCCTCACCTGTGTTCACCTTCACTACGCTATAAACTCCAGAACTATGATTGGACACTAAATGATTATTTATTGAGTGTTTTAAATCCTTGGGCTAATTTACAAGCATTCAATGTTCCCAGACTGTTTGCCACTGGTTTTCTCTACTTATAATGCAATATCGAGGCAATCCGCACACGATGCACATATACCAATAAGAGACTGGTCATTTGCAGCGTTAAACTTTATTAGGAAGATTTAAACAACCAATGCAAATGACTTGTATAAACTAGTAATCCTTTAAAGCAAAATGAATAACACTGACCTGTAAATTGGTGTTAAAGGATTTGTTTTTGCTATACATTCAAAATGGATTAATTGACCTTCTCTTAGATTAACTTGTTCTGTTTGGTTAATAATTTGTATTTTAACATTTTCTATGTCTAGATATCAGTAAAACAAATAAATTACAGAAAAAGAAAAGAATCATATTTGAACTAAGTTGACTTGTAAACAAATAATCATTACGTGATCAATAGATGGAGTTGAGCTGGAAAATATGATGCTTGTGTTACATATCACAAAAAAAATCTGGTCACATATATACTTACAATCAGAGAGGGGAAAAATTAGACGGCCGTAACTCACTGAACACAATGATAGACGGTGGTTCAATTTCGTGGATTGGTTGAAGTTGGACATTAACACCATTGGATGTAGGATCAGTGAACTATATGTCAAGCGTTCGAGTGCGAGACGTGATCGTGGATGCGCGCTGCTTAGGTGTCACATATGTACTTGTTAAGGTCATCTTTAATAAAAGTTCAATCGATAAATACGGAGTTATAATTTAAAATAAAGGTGGGGAAAACTCATACCATATGGAAAGAATAAAAATCCCGTCAAACCACCTTAGGTTAGAGTATACTCTACTTTGTACATATGAAAGAGGCTTAACCTCTATAAACTTAAGAATACGCTGTTGAGAAATTTTATATAATGCTTTAAAAACTACTGTAAGATGGATTTTGTGACTTGTTTTGATTACGTGTTTTAGAAAGTAGGAGCTAACTTTAATAAATCACTTAATGTTTTTAATAATATACTGATTACTTGACTAATTTAAATCATAAACAAATTTTTAATAGCCCGCGATTGAGACCATTCAGTTTTTATAGTCTGTGTCTTGGATTAATGTTAGTTAGACCATCATCCTAATATGAGAATTCTTAGTAGCGCTGATTCATGTTTTTCTGATGGAGTCTTGTTCTCTGAGCTGGATGTTTTGGTTGTGGAGCTTTCATCGTTCTTCTAAACAACATCATCAGCACAAACTTCAGAGAGAAGTGAAATGTTCGAATTTCTCCATATGTGGTTGATCTTTAAAGCCAACAAGAACAAGGTCTACAGGACAAGCTGTTGATGTCGTTCACAAGAATAATTAAAGCTCCACGACCGAAACATCCAGTTCAGAGAACGATACTCCATCAAAATTCTCCACCTTAGCTACAAATCTCGGCTGATGCATTTGCTCATCCACGACCTCACTACAGAATATCAAACCCAGAATATTCGATCTCTTGCAAGAACACATTTTTATTACATAGTCAATCAGAATCTGGTTAAACTAATTTCTGGTTAAATATCAGTCATTTCGCATTAAAAATACCTGTTATGACTTTACGTTGTGAGACTGCAGGGTTTGATAAGCAGCGTATTTATTGATCGATCGCAGTACAGTGACACGGAAAACACGTACGGACGGCCTAGAGTCTCTATTGGTCTCGCTTCCCTGTCTAGCCCAGTTAGTTGAGTCCAGAACACAAGTCACAACCTCTGAGATATGAATCATTATATTTCAAACATACTTTGTTTATATACCAATCAAGCATACCACATCGTACCATAAAAATAGTAAACAACATTTACGCAATATGTAACGAATGAATTAAATAATAGCCAATAGGGAATGTACATTTAAAGTCCAAGGACACCACTGGACTTAACATGATAATTATTGGTCTATTCTTCCGCATCCACAACACCTCCCCTTTTTTTTGAAGATCCGGAGTTGATATCCGGATTTTGAAATTTTCTGGGTTCATCCTCCCCCACGAAATAATGTTGGGTCCTCATATTCCCAAGTTAGAATTAATTTGACTTTATTTAACACATAATTGTCAGATTGAACAGGGGAGTCACTGAAAGTGATTAAATAGTGGGGAACAATGTCGCTTGATATGAGGTCACCAACGTTTGATTCTTCTGGAACATTGTCACGGGATTTGTTGAAAATCTCATTTGTAAACAGTTGATCACTGCGATAATCAACATCTATCAAAATTGTATTAGATTTCTGATCATCATTTAATGCATTTAACACATTTTCTGGTACAAAAAGATCTAGATAATAAGATTCGTCAGAATCTCCTGTTGTTGAATGATGAGGACCATTTGAAACAGCTGGATTCAGTGTACCGCACGATTTGTTCCCTGTTCCGTTGTGGGCGGGTACTGCAATTAATTTATGAGCATTTAATAAGAGATCCTCCTGTGAGCTGGGTACATCACTGTCTGTACACGTTTCAGGAACAGTGGGATTTGAACCCACGACAGGGAACGTTTCGGAATTTGACATTTCTGGACAACTGGGCGGACCATGAATAACTGTCTCGTTTACATCACTGGTCGTCCGGGATTCACAGAGGCTTTTATAAACAGCTTCATATGTTCTGCAGTTGTTTTCCAGCTCAGTCTGCAGATGAGAAATGAATTTACCAACTTCTGTTGCACCTCCGAAACATGGAACATTTACCAACAGTGTGCGTAAATTTTCTAAAAAATTTAACTGGCTATTTTTGAAGCACTGCTGTTGTTGCTCAAGTAGAAGCTGTAATCGATCGGAAAAGGTAGTCATTTTTTTTTCAGCACCTGCAATGAAAATTAACTGTAGGAATAATGACCAATGTTGCTCAAGGACGCTGGTGACAATCTGGATGCTGATTGGTCGAAACAATTAACCTGAATCTCGTCCAATTACAAGGTTCAAAATTTTTCTCCACCCCGTCGCCAATTGTTATGAATTTAAGTTGTGAGACTGCAGGTTTTGATACGCAGCGTTTATATCGATCGGTTACAGTGACGCGTAAAACACGTAAGGACGACCTAGTGCCCTGATTGGCCCTGCCCCGCTGTCTGTCCTAGCCCAGTTGAGTGGAGAACAAAAGTCACAGCCTCGGAGATATGAATCATTATATTTCAAACATACTTTGTTTATATACCAATCAAGCATACCACATCGTACCATAAAAATAGTAAACAACATTTACGCAATATGTAACGAATGAATTAAATAATAGCCAATAGGGAATGTACATTTAAAGTCCAAGGACACCACTGGACTTAACATGATAATTATTGGTCTATTCTTCCGCATCCACAACAATACCATTTAAAATATACATTATGATTTTGAAATTACTTTACAGATGTGAATTTTGATAAGCAACGCTATCCAAGTTGATTCACCATTAATGAGATAGCTGATTCATATAGTTTATATTCATTCAATGACAAGCTGATATGGTTTTCTTATATGATCTATTCATAGAAACAAATCAATTGTAATCCCTTAGTACATTGTCTAACAGGGTCAAGACTAACATCTGTGATTCTTGAAGATCTAATCATTACTTTTACAGCATAAATACTACAATATATAAGATAGTTGTTATTATCAGAAGGGGTTTTGTGGAGACTTTAGAAATTTCACTGGTTGAAATCATGAGTCAATTGAAGCTAGATCACCATGGGAAACCTGGAAGCACTGAACGGCCGTTTCGTCCTAGTATGGGACTCCTCAGCAGTGCGCATCCACGATCCCTCACCCCACGAGATTCGAACCCGGGACCTATCAGTCTCGCGCCAGGCGCTTTAACAACTAGACCACTGAACCGGCATCCAACGGTGTTAATGTATAACTTCAACCAATCCACAAGTTGCTCCACCGTACACCATTGTCTTCAGTGGGTTGATTTCTCACAACAGACCTGGTTGAACTCCACTGTCAACGGCTTCTCACTAGAACTCCAGGAGTAACTCTTGGAGTCAGTCACTAGTGAGCAGATGTTAATTTACATGACAATGATGTGAAACTACGCAGATTTTCAATATAGTAAAATATGACCTGTACTAAACGTGTAACTGAAACGAGTCGAATTTCGTAAATATCGATGGAAAGGTTGAAAATGATTTAGTCTATCAACGCTGATTTACAAATATAAAACCAATTCACTTATATCTATCTACGTCGTCGACTTTCAAATCTGTTACGTCTATAGTGAACTTGATATGGACTACGGTAGATATTGGTCAATAGAATTCAAAGGTAGATGTCTTGAATCGATTACTACATTTCATACTAGGACAAAACAGCCGTTCAGTGCTTCCAGGTTTTTCATGGTGATCTACCTTCAATTGATTTATGATTTCAACCAGTGTAATTAATATTATACAAAATCTAAAAATTAATAATGAAAATAAACGTCTTACACATTGGTTCAATTGTAACTGTGACAGTTGGTAATTTTGCTGGAACAAAATCTTCTGAATTACTAACGCTACATTCCAATTGCCAATGTTGATATTTTCTTTCAACTGTTAAAGTCAATTGACTTTCAGTCACTTGCCTATAAGTTCATAAAATTTAAATTACAAAACACTCAATGAATGATCATCAACAATAAAGGTCAATATGTTTATATGATTAATGAAGATTAGTATGGTCTGATGTAATATTATAGAAACTTTCACACCAACCAGATCCCAGCGGAGGAAGAAATCAGGAAGAAGCGCTGGAAGTGGATCGGACACACATTTAGGAAAGCACCCAACTGTGTCACAAGACAAGCCCTCACATGGAATCCTCAAGGCCAAAGGAAAAGAGGAAGACCGAAGAACACATTACGCCGAGGAATGGAAATAGACATGAGAAGAATGAACAAGAATTGGATGGAATTAGAAAAGAAGGCCCAGGACAGAGTGGGTTGGAGAATGCTGGTCAGCGGCCTATTCTCCATTAGGAGTAACAGGCGTAAGTAAGTAAATAAGTATTTCAATCGGTCACTTATAACGTAGGACCTGGCAAATATATGAATCGGTTCAAGTTGTTATACCTCATTAACACAATACGATGAACACCGAATTCATAGAAGTAGTTAATTCAATACTGGTAACATATAAAAGAAAGATTGTACAATGAGGATATAATACAGGAAGAAGGAATTACTTGGTCAAAATTAAGATATAAAGTAATTTTAATCTCAAAGTTTAAGAGAAGACAAAGAGTGTATACATCTACTTCATTATGATCGATTCTTAATCATATCATAACTATTGATTTTGATAGTGACGTAGACTTCTATCTGAAGTTTGTGCTGATGATGTCGTTCAGAAGAACGATGAAAGCTCCACGACCAAACCATCTAGCTCAGAGAACAGAATTCCACCAAAAACCTTAACCAAGTAATCTGCATCTACCAAGATGGCTCAGACCAAACTTTAGTGACTTCAAGGACTGATGCCATATTTTGGTTTGGCCACCCCTAACTTTCTTCCAACCGTCTCCAGCCTATTTGGTCAACATTTTAAATGTTTTAAGTATTTGTACTGAATAAGCATTGTTGATTAGCCAAAATCTCATTTATCTAGTTCAAAATTCTGATTATAACATTATATTCAAGTTGTAGTATGGATACTTGATCAAATGGTTAGATATCGTAGGTTCTAAGAGTTTATTTTCGACTGTTGGAGTCAGCCGACGTGATACAGGAGATTTAGGTGTCTGACCAACTTATAATTATTGCCAGAGCGTATCTAAATTCTCTTAAGAACGGGATACGATCAGCCTTACAGATCAGAAAAATATAGCAAACATAAACCATAAGTATAATCGATTCGAAAACAAAGGCAAATACTGGTATGATAACTATGACAGTAATTGCTTATGAATGGCTTATCTTACGTCAATCTAGTTAATCCATGACTTTTAAACGCCCTTTATAAAGACATCCCTGCCAAATATCCAAAGTAGTCAGTTATTTAACCTCGTCATGAATACTGTTTAGATAGAACCGCTATTTCTATGTTAGATAAAATTCTTACTGAACATGGTATACCATTATACGTTTTACTGTCATTAAATGCTAATTTGTTGGCAACAAAGACTAGTATAAACCTAAAGAATGTCGTTTTGACCATGATTTTACTCATATTCGGAGTTATATGAACAACGATAAGTTACTAGTTACCGAAATATCAACAAAAGTACAAACCGTCTCCACAACTTATGACATATTTTGTGCATTAACCGAGTTTATATTAGCGTATGGCCGTTTAATTTGTCTAAGAAACATTACCTTCATTATTGGCAGGTCAAGAGATTGTTGATCAACTAGTGGTATTCTGTACATATATCCATCATAAATGATGACTAATAAAAGCCAGATCACAGTACATGGTATCTGTAATGACTAGTTCGATCTGTTTGGAAATTACAGACTTGTAGGTTACCTTATGCTAGATGAATACAACCTGTGTTTGGCTATAAGAACTAGCACATATGATTTCCTATTCACCAGTTTTAAAGTTCTATATATAACTGGATCTCACTTAATCTTATCCGTTAATTTTCAAGTTTCTCATATTGATTCAAATTGTTGAAACTTATCCCACAGACAAATAAATATCTAGTCTTACATCTTCTATACAGCTGTTCAGTGCTTCTAGGTTTTCAATAATGATCTAGCTTAGATCGACTCATGAATTCAACTATTAAAATTACTACAGTCTTTATAAAGACTCATTCTGATGATGATGATGATGATGATGATGATGATGATGATGATGATGATGATGATGATGATGATGATGATGATGATGATGATGATGATGATGATGATGATGATGATGATGATGATGATGATGATGATGATGATGATGATGATGATGATGATGATGATGATGATGATGATGATGATGATGATGATGATGATGATGATGATGATGATGATGATGATGATGATGATGATGATGATGATGATGATGATGATGATGATGATGATGATGATGATGATGATGATGATGATGATGATGATGATGATGATGATGATGATGATGATGATGATGATGATGATGATGATGATGATGATGATGATGATGATGATGATGATGATGATGATGATGATGATGATGATGATGATGATGATGATGATGATGATGATGATGATGATGATGATGATGATGATGATGATGATGATGATGATGATGATGATGATGATGATGATGATGATGATGATGATGATGATGATGATGATGATGATGATGATGATGATGATGATGATGATGATGATGATGATGATGATGATGATGATGATGATGATGATGATGATGATGATGATGATGATGATGATGATGATGATGATGATGATGATGATGATGATGATGATGATGATGATGATGATGATGATGATGATGATGATGATGATGATGATGATGATGATGATGATGATGATGATGATGATGATGATGATGATGATGATGATGATGATGATGATGATGATGATGATGATGATGATGATGATGATGATGATGATGATGATGATGATGATGATGATGATGATGATGATGATGATGATGATGATGATGATGATGATGATGATGATGATGATGATGATGATGATGATGATGATGATGATGATGATGATGATGATGATGATGATGATGATGATGATGATGATGATGATGATGATGATGATGATGATGATGATGATGATGATGATGATGATGATGATGATGATGATGATGATGATGATGATGATGATGATGATGATGATGATGATGATGATGATGATGATGATGATGATGATGATGATGATGATGATGATGATGATGATGATGATGATGATGATGATGATGATGATGATGATGATGATGATGATGATGATGATGATGATGATGATGATGATGATAATGATGATGATAATGATGATAATGATGATAATAATAATAAAAGTATCAAGAATAATCAATACTTACATGTGTACTTCATCAGTTAAACTTGTTACAGATGTATTAGGGAACAATATTGAATTAGTTTTACTTGAAAATATTGATTTGTCTGAAATATTCATAATTTTTTCTTTTATTGTATAATGAATAAGTGAATTTTGATGATCAGAAAATGATTGTATTATTTTATCAGAATTCTTAATCAATAATATACCAGCTAAATGCCATTGTATTGTAGTAACAGGCTTTGATGGTGATGTATGACAAGATACAATCAATTTTTTCTTTTCTACTATCCATATCTTAGGACTTTTGTTATATATATTACTTGTATAACCTAAAGATTCATGAGTAATTAACATTTCTTTCAATGGTATATT